TATATATATATTATAATTTTTTGTTTTTTCTATGGATTTTGGAATGGAATTTTAATTCACAGACTGGTGATGATGATGGATTTTATATATTCTTATTTTAAAAAATGTATGTACATTTAAAACACTTTGTATTATATTACCTTTGCATCAAATTACAAAAGCGTCTGTAGGAGTGAAGGTAAATTTGACTTTGTTTTCTCTTCTGACTGCTGCTGTCAATCTCTCTCTATTTTTTTCCTCTTTTCAAAAGTTGTGAAAACATTATCATGGAGTTTTTCTTTTGCTATTTGAGTGAATGGGAATGAAGAAAAAAAAAAGGTTTTGATGTAATTTCCCATTCACTACAATCAACTATGATGACTTCCGCTTCTGAGAAACCCAGAAATGTGGAAAAGGTCCATAATAATTACGGATGTTAACAACAAGGATGGCGGTTTTATGATGTGATTTGTTGATCTCGTGTGTTTTTCAGGGTCGGGAAGGAATGACATGTTACTACCTGACTCACGGGTGGGCGGGGCTCATCGTCGTCGTGGAGAACCGTCACCCGAAGTACTACCTCCATGTGTCATGTGACTGTACCGACAGCTTCAATGTGGTGTCGACCCGCGGCAGCCTGAAGACCATCGACAGCGTGCCGCCGCTGCACAGGTAAACTCATCTCCTGAAGCGTCTGACAGCAGTGGGAACAAGAGCAGGCCGTTGTTCCTCCGGCTCCAGATGGAAACCCGCCGTGTGATTGTGAATGATAGTCCTGTTAGTGCCTGAAGGGTTTTATTTAAGGTTTGTTCACACCCAGAGCCACATGACAATTTCACCTCGGAGGTATTCATAGCTGAATCACACTCCACTCATTCACATGCCCTATCAACCCTAACAGTGCTGCTTATGCCGTTTTAACACAATTATTAATTTAAAAAGATGATGAAAACTCATTTATTAAAATAATGAACGAAGATTAATTCAAACAAAAAAGTAAAAATAGTGTATAAAGTCATCTAGCATAAATTTTAATATGCATTTTAATTTATTAAAACATTTTTTTTGTTGACAACTTGAGGCATACATACATACAAATATATATATAAAATATTACATACAATATATACAAAATAAAAAAATAAAATAAAAAAAATATATATATACATTCCCCCTCCTATTAATTATTTATATCTGTATTCCGTTCTAATTTTTTGCATACTTCTCCAACATTAAATATAAGTTTATGATGTAAATTTCTCTTAAAGCATCCACCATAAATTGTTTATTAAAGTTCAAATAAAACCTGTTTTTAGGACTATTATTATTATTATTATTATTATTATATTTGATGTTTTTATAGCAATTAAGCACATTTTCCCTTCGACTCACAATTGACTTTAGTTGACTTTGGTGTTAGCAGTAAATAAATATATTTTATAATATTACTTTATTATTTATTCAAATTTTTTTTATCTGTATTTAGTCCATAGTTTTGTACTTGTCACCTCACCACTGAGTGAAAGATATATTTATAATACGAATTTCTCTGGTTATCCACCGTCTTGGATAAATTATTTTTTCAGTGAGAGCATTGCAGTGCATTTTAGGATTGACTACCTTACAATTTGGTAAAGAAAGTATAATTGAATGCTTTATAATGTTGCTGCTCACCTTTTGGAAAGTCTTCATGCTTGCCTAAAAAGTGCTTTCTATGTAGGTTTTCCCTAACAGAGCAGCGGTGTGATGCATTAACGCGCATGTATTCGCTCACGTGTTGCAGGCAGGTGCTGGTGGTCCTGTCCCAGCTGGAGGGGAACGCCGGATTCTCCATCACACACAGACTGGCCCATAGGAAAGCGGCGCAGGCGTCTCTGGGCGACTGGACGTCTAGTAAAGCCACACACTCACCCCAGCTCACAGCAGACACTGACGGACTGCACAGACCGCGGCCGCTTTGACACACGCTCACACACACACACATGTATTCGCTCACGTGTTGCAGGCAGGTGCTGGTGGTCCTGTCCCAGCTGGAGGGGAACGCCGGATTCTCCATCACACACAGACTGGCCCATAGGAAAGCAGCGCAGGCGTCTCTGGGCGACTGGACGTCTAGTAAAGCCACACACTCGCCCCAGCTCACGCCAGACACTGACGGACTGCACAGGCCGCGGCCGCTTTGACACATGCTTACACACACACACACACATAGACACACTCTCCCTTCATGAAACGACATAGACCAGTTCAGGCCCGTGATGATGAACACACACGCAGGCATTGAGAGGGTCTGGGTGGAACTACTGAGCCAATCACACGTCTGCTTGCTGAGCCAAGCCCCGCCCACTGCAAACACACTCGCTCTGCGCAAGAACATGATGAGCTTCATTCACATCCATCCTGGAGTCCGCCACACGTCTCCTGTCACACGACTGTACTTTCCCGTTTCTTTTACATGCATTCAGTCAGACGGCGAATCTCACCAAAATATTTCACGTGGATTATTAAAGCAATAAGCCCCAAGAAGCCGTGGTTTACAGTGAATTTATAACAGCTAAGCGTTGGTAGAAAAACCCCCTTAGCTGTTATAAATTCACTGTAAACCACAGCTTCACGGGACTTATTGCTTTTATAAAGCGGTTATTCCATATACGTAGTACGGTTTCAGAAAATAAAACGGAGCAAATAAAGTGTAATGATATTAATAAAAACAGTATTCTTCCACCAAACAATGTAGTTCCTCAGAATCAGTTGTGGTTGCAACAAAGTGGTTGCCGAGCAACACACAGAAGTAAACAAAGGTGTAAGTTTGTAGCGTAATTTACAACAGCTTCGAACGCGGCTCAGCCAATCAGAATCAAGTAATTTACAACAGCTTCGAACGTGGCTCAGCCAATCAGAATCAAGGACCGGAACTCTCCGTTTTTATAATTCACCATAATTAAAAGGGAAAAAAATTTGTTTTAAAAAGGCAAAATTGAGCCTGTTTTTGGGACCATTATTATTAATATTATTACTACTACAGTTTCAATTATATTAGATTTTTCCATGACAATTAAACACATTTTTCCCTCCTATTCACATTACTGTAAGACTCCTGGACATTACAGTTTTATAATAATAAAAATAATAATTACTATTATTTTAATATTGTTATTATTATTACTGTTTCAATTATATTTGTTTAATTTTCCCCTCAAATTCATATTACTATAAGTCTTCTGGACATTTCATTTTAATTTTTACTTTTATAATTTTTGTTATTTAGGATTATCTTCACTTGATTCTTATTACGTGAATACAGTATTATATTAAAAGTAAAAAAAAAATACTTTGTTTGGTTTTTTTTAAACCACATTTAGGCAGTACAACAAATGCTGCTATGTTTATATATTTTTATAAATACAGTTAGAATTTAAATATTATATCAGTGTTTTTTCCACATCCTCATTCTGTAATGAGTTTTTTTTTTAATTGTCTGGATTGGGGTAAAATTGTGTGTAATTGTCACAACCCAGGATATCTTAAAGGCCCAAAATACAGGTGTAATTCCCTTACGCAAACTATATCTTTATTCTTCCTGATCATAGGGTGAAATGTGCCAAGTTCTCGACACGTTTTGTGAGATTTAGGTTTAATGCCGTTCTGACAGCCAATCAGCAGCCTTCTCTGTGCTCACATGTTCTGTATCATGGGTAATGTAACGACAAATGGCGATACTTGATTTTAGTGGAAAGCCGTGTGTGGTTATTCACCGGCCGTGAGGGGTTTATGTGTTTGAAGATGCATGTGGGAACCATCTTTTAATTTATTTATGTTGTGTTTTAGTAAAGACGCACAAGAGAAGCTGCTGAGCGAGACTCATGGGAATGTTTTGATCAGCAGGTTGATCATGTGTGTTGGACTTTATTTGTGCACTGAGCGTCTCCTGTGTTTTCTTGTGTTGGTCAGTGTCTCCCTCTGTTGGTGTGTGTCGGTCTGATCATGTGACGTCACACACACACACACACACACACACTTTCTGTCTTTCTTTTGTAAAGTGTACAGCGCTGTTCCCCTCTGCACAATCCCATCAGAAGTACTCGCTGTAATTATACAGATCTCTGTCGGCCAGGAGTATAATATGTAGAATATTTTATTGATTCTTTGACAAAACAAAAAGTATAAAAGTTTAAAATCTGTACGGTTCATTTGCAATCTCAGGTTCTGTCGGACCAAATGACAAATAAAGATTTTTTTCTTTCTTTTTTAATCAAGGAGCGTGAGCTGCTGACTTGTTTAATTCTTTCCTTTGTTTCTGATCTTAAAGGTGAAGTGTATCATTTTTCTTCAGTGTTAGTATAGTTATGTATATTTTAAATGATATTGATTTTAGGTAGTTTTTTATTGACCTATGTTCATTATTCTCAAAGTGGTTATTACATTGATCTTCTGTAAGGAGTTCAGCAATCAGACATTTAAATGGGTCACTCTCAGGAAACTTCTTTGCTTCTTTCTTTCCACATTGCAGTAAGTTTAAAGTTCATGTTCTTATGATTTGAATGGATAATTTAGTAAATTCAGGTGGTATCACTCAGTTTTAGTGTGCCAATCCTGCCAATTTTTCTGAATGTGCTTTATGTCGATCCTGTTGCATTCATGTTACAGGGTCAAAGCAAAATTGATTTAACAGCATCTTTAACTAGTAAATATGAGTGCATTTTACCTCTTTATGTATAGGGAATGTAAAACAATATTTGCACATTTTTTTCCTAAAAATGTGCTCATTACAATACATTGTTTTTAATGTATTGTAAATTTTGCATTTACTCTGAATTAGTGAAAGTTTGTTTTAATCTCAATTGCAAATGCAAAATATAAGGTTAATATGTTAATGTTTTGAGCTATACAAGACTAAGAATGCCAATGTGTAAAACTAATAGACTGAAGCTTTCATTTGTTCCTGCCTCGATAAAAATGCTGAATTCTACCAAAAACAACACACCTATAGCATATTAGCACTTTACTGTGTTTTGCACTGTACATATTTTACATTTTATACTTATACACTTATATTTTAATGTATGTTTTTTAATTGTTTTATTTAATTTGTTTTATTTATCATTATTGTCTGTTCAGAACAACACTGTAGCACTTTGCCCAAGACAAATTTCCTTTTGGGGACAAATAAAGTTTATCCTTTATGCCCTCTAAACCCATCAACCCCAAAAAATACACTTTAATTGAGCAAGGACGCATTAAATTGATCAGAAGTGACAGTAAAGACATTTATAATGTTACAAAACAGTTCTATTTCACATAAATGCTGTTCTTTTGAACTTCAATCAAACAATCCTGAAAAAAATGCATCACATGTTTCCCAAAAATATTGGGCAGCACAACTGTTTTCAACATTGATAATAATCAGAAATGTTTCTTGAGCAGCAAATCAGTATATCAGAATGATTTCTGAAGATCATGTGACACTGAAGACTGGAGTAATGATGCTGAAAATACAGCTGCGCATCACAGGAATAAATTACATCCTAAAATATAGTCAAATAGAAATAAGTTATTTTAAATCTTAATAATTTTCAACAATTTTACTGTTTTTACTGTATTTTTGGTCAGATGAATGCAGCCTTGGTGAGCAGAAGAGACTTATTTCAAACATTTTATAAACGATTTCTCACATTGCGAAAAATAGTTGCAAATAGCAAACAGATCAAAACAGAATTATGACTTTACAAAAACGCATTGCAAAAGTCAAATAAATTAAATATATTTTTAACATTTTCTAATTGAATTATTATTTTCATGTTGTATACTGTATACATAAATTTTCAATTGTTGTTATACTTTTGGAAGTGGATCAGAATTGTGAGTTTATAACTTACATTTTGAGATATATTCTCGCAATTGTGAATTTTCATTTTTCCTCAAAATTCTGAATAATTCTGAGTCAGAATTAATAACATGCAATATCAAGATATAAACTCAGAAAAACAAAAAAGTCAGAATTGTATATGTGTGTATATATATATATATATATATATATATATATCAAATAAGTAGAAATTACATTAAGTGTGTGTGTGTGTGTGTATATATATATATATATACAATGAAATAAAAATATATATATATTCATAATATAAATATACTTGCAATTCTGGCAGAATTAATAACTCATAATTTTGAAATAAGCTCGCAATTTTGGGGGGAAAGGTCAGAATTGTGAGATATAAACTTGCAATTGTGAGAAAAAAGTCGGTTTGCATCTCGCAATTCTGACTTTTTTCTCAGAATTCTCTGTTCACATCTCACAATTAATGCGAGATATAAACAACACTGAGATATTGCAATTCTGATACAAAACATTTTTAAAATAGAGATTTTTATTCCATGCCGGAAATAGGTTTTGAACGCGTTGTAAAAATGGGGACATTTTTTAGGACAAAATACAAAAAACCTGGACTGTCTCTGGAAACTACTCCCAGTATCACATCAGTTGGTATTTAATGAGATGAACTAACTACAGTAAGGTAAAAAAAAATTGCTGCTAAATTAGTGAATTGCATCAAGTGACCCCAAATTGCCCACGTTGTAGTTCGTTCTGGCCTGGAAGAATAAGATCAGAATAACAGTAAGATCCCACCGCAGACATTCACCTAAATTATTATTATTATTATGTGGTATTTATTGTATCATGTAAAAATAATAAAAATGACATTATAGTGTGTATATATAGTATTATATATCATCTTATTATAGTTGGTTATGTCTCTTTTTTTGTCTATGCCGGCTGTTCTCTTAAAACCTGATCTGAATTTTTAGGGAGATGTTTACGACAGAGTCACACACACCGCATGACGCCGCTAAACACAATAAAAACTTAAAGTACTGAAATGATGAGGGCAGCTTCTAAAAATGGCACAGACCTTTTTATCTGTGTGTTAAAGCCTCGACTCGTAAGTGTTGATTTATGCAGTATGGTTAGCTCTAGCTTGTATTAACTCTTCAGCATCTCATTTTGTGCTGCCAGGTGTCTGAACGTGTATTACTGCAGTACAGACTGTCAGAAGAAGGACTGGTCTTTGCATAAGAAGTTCTGTAAGATGCTCCATAAGGTCTCCATCGACAGGCTGGTGGAGTGGCTCATTCACACAGGTCAGAGGAAACCGCAAACGTGGTTGGAGTTGTGAGAGGCTGCTAAGTAACATTATGTCAATCATCCTGTGCTCCAATAGGAGATCTTCCTTTCCCTACGAAGGTGTGGTCTCTGCACGCTAAAGACATCAGGTGTTGGGACGATTGGTTGTCCATGCAGGGAGATCTGACATCCCGTCTGGAGCCCATCCTGTCTGGACAAAACATGACAGACCTCTGGACCAATGCCTGCAGGCCACGGCCGGAGGAGGCGGAGCTTCGTGAGTCTGTGTGGCGGGTGTCCAGCGAATTCTTCTCTCGGATGCTGACGGTGGCCCTCGGGATTCAGATGGCCCGTCTGGACCGATATTCCTGTCCTCTGACCGTACATCTAGTCGGCGCCGGTCACAACGAGACCCTGGGAGCCAGAACCACAGACATGGACGAGCTCAGTCGCATGTTCCCGGAGCACCAGGGGCTGGAGGTGGTGATGGTGGGGTCCGAGGTGGTCCAGGGGCCCATCATGAGGCCCCCGCTGAGAGCATTCGGACCCCGGGGAAAAGTTTACTTCAGCGCTTACAAGGGCCTCTATCATCAGTTCTGGGAGGAAGCTGTGGAGAAAGGAGAAGCAGCCAAACCTGATCTAGTGCTTGGATTTCATCCAGGTACAAACAAACAAATGCAAAATATTAAACATACCTAAAATGTAAACTATTAAAAATTATTTTTGCTTATTGAAATAAAGCTAGAATAAGATATACATATTTGATGAAAAACCTAAACTTATATAAGTTTAAATTAAAGTACTAAAATTACAACAATTAAAACTAAAAATTAAAAACCTATATAAATATATATTTTTTAAAACGAATAAAACTGAAAATAGCACATAACAAAATGACAACAAAAAAAAAACTTAAATTAAAATAAATGAATAACCTGAAAATACAAAAATAAAAGTCATTCTTAAAATATTGATTCTTAAAATAATAATAAATACTGTAATATTGTATAATTTTGTAGTTTAAAATGAATAATTAAGCCAAAGACTTTATTAAAGAATGTGCTGATTTTATATCCGAGTTAGTGCTGGCTGCAGATAAAGTTTTAATTGTTGGTGATTTTAATATCCATGTTGATAATGAAAAAGATGCATTGGGATCAGCATTCATAGACATTCTGAACTCTATTGGGGTTAGACAACACGTCTCAGGACCTACTCATTGTCGAAATCATACTCTAGATTCAATACTGTCACATGGAATTGATGTTGATGGTGTTGAAATTATGCAGCCAAGCGATGATATCTCAGATCATTATTTAGTCTTGTGCAAACTTCATATAGCTAAAACTGTAAATTCTAATCCTTGTTACAAGTATGGTAGAACCATCACCTCTACCACAAAAGACTGCTTTGTAAGTAATATTCCTGATCTATCTCAATTCCTTAGCATATCCAAAACCTCAGAACAACTTGATGATGTAACAGAAACTATGGACTCTCTCTTTTCTAGCATTTTAAATACAGTTGCTCCTTTACGCTTAAGGAAGATTAAGGAAAACAGTCTGACACCGTGGTATAATGAGCACACTCGCACCCTAAAGAGAGCAGCCCAGAAAATGGAGCGCAGCTGGAGGAAAACAAAACTAGAGGTATTTCGTATTGCTTGGCGGGAAAGTAACCTATCCTACAGAAAAGCATTAAAAACTGCTAGATCTGATTACTTTTCTTCTCTTTTAGAAGAAAACAAACATAACCCCAAGTATTTATTCAATACAGTGGCTAAACTGACGAAAAATAAAGCATCAACAGGTGTTGACATTTCCCAACAGCACAGCAGTAATGACTAGACTACAATTAAATTACATCTGCTAAAATCTGCTTAAAGTTTTTGTCAGCTTTTAGATGCCCTTTGGCATATCAATGACATCAACAGTGTTATTTTAGTATTATTTATTTCCTATTATAGTATTAATTAATATTTTAATTAGCTTTTATATTTAATATTATTTTTATATTTTAATTTTTTATTTTCAAAAAAAGTTTTAGTAATTGTATTATGTGCTGTTGTCATTTTTAATTAGTATTTTTATTAATAATTTAAATAAAATTACTAATAATATTAAAGATATACATATATTTAATTTATATTTATTTAAAAAAAAATTATTATAGTACTCAGTACTTATTTTATTTTAGTTTATGTTTTTATGTTTATTAAGTTTATCATCTAATACTTATATTTTATTCTATTTCAGCATTATTTCAATTAATGAAAAATATTTTTTTAATTATTTTAAGTTCAAAAGCATTGAGGATCTTAAGTAGGCTCACAACATCAAACCTTTATAACTAATTAACCTTAAAGCACACTAAAAATGAAAATAATTATCAGTAATGAACAAAATATTTCACTACAAAAAAAAAGAAGTGAAAACAAATGAATCAGTGAGTAATTTTTTGAAGCAGTTCACTGAAATGAATAGCAGTGGTTTGTGAAGTGAGCGCAGTTCTACAGTCTGAGGTGTTGAGGAGTTTACTAGGTTAGAGAGCTGACTTTCACTGCCGTCTGAAGACATTTGACCCTTTAAGCTCCAGTGGGGGTTTCGTTTCCATCTATAGATTCAGATAGATGATTCTTTTAGGGAGATTCACTCAGTAGAGACAGGTGCCACTTCAGCAGCGCTGTAATTCATCTGTCTGACTTTTACTAGCAGTGATTCACAGTAACAGCTGAGAGTTTAAGACTCACCGTCAGGAGATCTGAGCAAACTTCAATTCATTTAACAACAAGATGTTAGCAGTAGCATTTGCGTTTTACTTTACTTCGCTGTTAAATCCCTATCTCTGAAGGCTGGTCAGCAGAGGGTTATAAAATTACTAATAATATTAAAGATATACATATATTTAATTTATATTTATTTAAAAAAAAATTATTATAGTACTCAGTACTTATTTTATTTTAGTTTATGTTTTTATGTTTATTAAGTTTATCATCTAATACTTATATTTTATTCTATTTCAGCATTATTTCAATTAATGAAAAATATATTTTTAATTATTTTAAGTTCAAAAGCATTGAGGATCTTAAGTAGGCTCACAACATCAAACCTTTATAACTAATTAACCTTAAAGCACACTAAAAATGAAAATAATTATCAGTAATGAACAAAATATTTCACTACAAAAAAAAAGAAGTGAAAACAAATGAATCAGTGAGTAATTTTTTGAAGCAGTTCACTGAAATGAATAGCAGTGGTTTGTGAAGTGAGCGCAGTTCTACAGTCTGAGGTGTTGAGGAGTTTACTAGGTTAGAGAGCTGACTTTCACTGCCGTCTGAAGACATTTGACCCTTTAAGCTCCAGTGGGGGTTTCGTTTCCATCTATAGATTCAGATAGATGATTCTTTTAGGGAGATTCACTCAGTAGAGACAGGTGCCACTTCAGCAGCGCTGTAATTCATCTGTCTGACTTTTACTAGCAGTGATTCACAGTAACAGCTGAGAGTTTAAGACTCACCGTCAGGAGATCTGAGCAAACTTCAATTCATTTAACAACAAGATGTTAGCAGTAGCATTTGCGTTTTACTTTACTTCGCTGTTAAATCCCTATCTCTGAAGGCTGGTCAGCAGAGGGTTGTTGGTTCTCATCCTGGATGTAAGATGAGCTGTAATAACTGAGGATCATCTCTGTGATGAACTGGGAGTCACTTTGAATCAAAGCATCTGCTAAATGGCCAGTGACTTATTTACTTAGCATTAAAATTAACACTTGACAAGAGTCACTTGCAAAACTGGCTCAGTGACAGATGCTTGTGTCCTTAACTTTTACCTTTGTGAAAAATTTAGCAGCAGATGTTTAGCTCGGAAGTGTCAAAATTCAAGAAATCCATGCTTAGTTTTAAAAAGGAAATATACAGAAAAAAAATATATATAGAGAGAGTATATATAGAGTACGATATATAGAGTATATATTGTGAGTGAAATTTTTTTAAAATTTAATTTACGTTATTTTATTTAATTGTTTTATTAAATTCAATTTCATTTATTTAATTCACTTTTTAAATTCTGCTTTGCTAAAACAGCTAAATATTTCTTTGAAATAGGGATAATAAAATATATATTTTTTATTCTAAGCAGTTATTATAGTTATTATAGTTTATAAAATAAATGTCAACTGAAATAAATTAAAATATTTTTAAAAAATAACTTTTTTTTAATTCCAGCTAGTTGCCAAAGCAACATTTCTCATTGTTATTTAGTTTACTTTAAGTGCTAAAATAACTACAATTATTAAATAAATTAATAAAAAAACTATATAGACATTACAAAATTAATAAAACTAATAAATATGACAAAAACACACAACAAAATGACTAAAACTTTAACTAAAATTAAAATATATAAACAAGAAAATATAAAGAAAAAAGAAAAAATGTAAATAAAGTCGAAATACAGAAAATAGGCTATCTAAATAAATAAAAAATATAAGTAAAATATATAAATAAAGCCTGATTAAAAATATTAACAAAAACTGTAAAACATCAATGATACTAAAATGTCCTTTTTCAATTTTGAAGCTTGCTTTTCATCCAAACAAGGTTCATATCAACATGATCTTGCTGAAAACAAGTGAAACTCCTGCACGAACACAATGCAAACACACACAGCTCCATCATTCTCATCCTCGGGCGAGACATCTTTATAGCACTGCTGTTTTTCTGGGTCCCTGAATACTTAAATCTCCTCATATCCAAACACTCATGACAACACATCTCATCTGGGAAGAGAGGATATAGCCTACACGCTATCAATCATAAAGTGGAGACCAACAAACAAAGACTGAGATTATCCAGCTAAACTCTGTGTGTGTGTGTGTGTGTGTGTGTGTGTGTGTGTGTGTGTGAGTGTGAGTATGTGTGTATATTCATTATATTATATTTTACTTACAAACACACACACATATATATATGTGTGTGTGTGTGTGTATTATTTATTACATTTTTATTCATTCATTCATTCATTCAACAGCAATGCCAAGGTCGTGGGTTTGATTCCCACAGAATGCATTAAAATGTATGCCTTGAAATACACAAATTTCACTTAAAATTTCTGTGGGGTGTGGACAATTAAATTCAAATTTTATTTATTTATTTATTTATTGCATTTTAAACTTTTGCCCAACCCTGGCAGACATACACAATCACAGGCTCCAGGAACATTGGTTCACTCCAGTGTCCGTCATTCTCTGCTGTGTCTCTGTGTCGCAGTGAAGCGGAGCTCCAGTGTTCCCTGCAGATTCTCATAGAGCTTGAGATGGACGTTAAAGACACTGGACCGAATCCCTTCAGCTCCCAGAAACCCGAGCAGGTCCAGTCCAGCCCTAACAAAGCCCCCAGTTACAGCAATGCATTTTATATTTACTTTCAGGGTCTGCTGGAGACACAACAGGAGGCTGAGTAGATTCACAGAGACCTTTGCTTTCATTCACTTATAAACCAGCTAAATGCATTTCCCAATGAAATCACCACATGGCTGTATTATTTGGACATCAGTCACACCTAAAAAAAAAAAAACGTGTCCCTTGCTATTACAGTTTAATAATTATTTAAGAAATAAATGTTTCATCTAAAACAGTTGTTTGCAACACAATTTAGTGAATATTTAGCGCCCCCTAGTGCCGAAATCTGCCATGACATTCTCTTTTTCGCTCTTAAAAAAAACTATATTATATTATAATGTATTATATTATATTATTAATAATCTTCATAATCATTCATTTTTCTATTTTGATTCCTGAGTCAAAACTTGTGCCTTACTATCTGTATGTTTTAGTTTCACTTCAGTGATTATTCTTTATTTGATATGGAAGAAGCCTTATAAAGCTAGCTAATAAATACATTTATATAAACAAATAAAAAAAAATGTGTCTATATTTATTTTTATATATTATTTATTTATTATACATTGCTGCCAAATGCATACACAACAAACAAATAAATGTTTGTTTATTTATTGTGTTTGTTTATTTATAATAATTTTTATTATTTATTTATTATTTATTGTGAAATTCCGAAAGTTTGTTTATTTTATTTTATTTTTTATTTTTTTGAGAATGGTCCATGTGATTATTAAAGGACGTCTCCGTTTTTGTAAACAACACCGGTCAGAAGTTGCTGATCTCCCCAATAGTATGTTCCTGCACAACCGGAGGCTGCAGTTTAAGGACCGCAGTTCTAGGACCCTAGGACCCGAATTGGATCACTAAAGATGGACGACATGGACAGCAATCAGAGTGAGTAACTTTACCGATTTTCAATTAAGTTTTATTTTATAACCTTAAAA